TTGAATGCTTAGTTTTCTGATAATGAACGTCTAAATTTCATAATGACACAAAACGGAATTCCTGCCTTCAGCTATTTCTTCTCCTTTTTAAAACATGCGGGGTTAGGATCGCGAATTTACTTTGAAATCTAATTAAAACTTTTACCCCAACATGGGGCTCGAACCCACGACCCCGAGATTAAGAGTCTCGTGCCAAGCCAAGACTCAGCTAGCTAGGCGGATTTTGTTTGAATGCTTAGTTTTCTGATACCGAACGTCTTAATTTCATAATAAAACAAAACGAATTTGCAATGTGTCTCACTTATTTCTTTTCGTTTTCGGAAAATGCGAAGAGATCGTGTTTTTTATTTTGATATTTAAGAAAAATATCTTCGCCCAACGTAGGGCTCGAACCCACGACCCCGAAATTATATCTCGCGCTCTGCCGACTGAGCTGCCTGGGCGCGATTTCGATTGATTGTTTATTTTCGATAGAAAACGTAGTAAATTCATATTGAAACAAAACTAATTCGCGCTCTGTCTCGCATATTTCTTACGTTTTCGAAAATTCGAAAAAACGCGTCTTTTACATTGAAATCTAATTAAAATATAATCGGCAAACGTGGGCCCCGAACCCGCGACCCCGAGATTTAGAGTCTCTTGCTCTGCTGACTGAGCTAGTCGGCACTTTAAACTTGAATGCTTAATTTTCTGATAGCGAACGTCTTAATTTCATAATGAAAAATTAATTTGCGCTCTGTCTCAGTTATTTCTGTTCGTTTTCGAAAAATTCGAAGAGATCGCGTATTTTACTTTGAACTCTAATTAAAATGTTTCGCCCGACGTGGGACTCGAACCCACGACCCCGAGATTAAGAGTCTCGTGCTCTGCCGACTCAGCTAGCTAGGCGGATTTTGCTCGAATGCTTAGTTTCTGATAGCGAACGTCTTAATTTCATAATGAAACAAAACGAATTGGCAATGTGTGTCACTTATTTCTTCTCGTTTTCGAAAATGCGAAGAGATCGTGTTTTTTTATTTTGATATTTAAGAAAAATATCTTCGCCCAACGTAGGGCTCGAACCCACGACCCGGAAATTAAGTCTCGCGCTCTGCCGACTGAGCTTGCTGGGCGGATTTCGCTTGATTGTTTAGTTTCGGATAGAGATCGTCTTAAATTTATATTGCAGCAAAACTAATTCGCGCTCTGTCTCGCATATTTCTCTTCCTTTTCGAAAGATGCGAAGAGATCGCGTCTTTTACATTGAAATCTAATTAAAATATATTCGGCAAACGTGGGCCCCGAACCCGCGACACCGAGTTTAGAGTCTCGTTCTCTGCCGATTGAGCTAGCCGGGCGCATTTTGCTTGAATGCTTAGTTTTCTGATAGCGAACGTCTTAATTTCATAATGAAACAAAACGAATTCCCGCTCTCTCAGCTATTTCTTTTCCTTTTTAAAACATGCGAAGAGATCGCGACTTTTACTTTGAAATCTAATTAAAATGTTTCGCCCAACGATTAAAACGAACAAGAGTCTCGTTAGCCGGGCGCATTTTGCTTGAATGCTTAGTTTTCTGATAGCGAACGTCTTAATTTTCATATTGAAACAAAACGAATTCCCAATGCTGTGGCGAAAATGCGAAGAGAAAACGTTTTTTTTTATTTTGAACCAAACGACCCCGAAGATTAAGAGTCTCGTGCTCTGCCGACTGAGCTAGCTGGCGCATTTTGCTTGAATGTTTAGTTTTCTGATAGCGAACGTCTTAATTTCATAATGAAACAAAACGAATTCGCGCTTGTGTCTCGCATATTTCTCTTCCTTTCCGAAAGATGCGAAGAGATCGCGTCTTTTACTTTGAAATCTAATTAAAATATTTCGCCCAACGTGGGGCTCGAACCCACGACCCCGAGATTAAGAGTCTCGTGCTCTGCCGACTGAGCTAGCCGGGCGTTTTTTCTTGATTGTTTAGTTTCTGATAGCGAACGTTTTAATTTCGTAATGAAACAAAATGAATTCGCTCTCTCAGCTATTTCTTTTCCTTTTTAAAACATGCGAAGAGATCGCGACTTTTACTTTGAAATCTAATTAAAATTTTTCGCCCAACGTGGGGCTCGAACCCACGACCCCGAGATTAAGAGTCTCGTGCTCTGCCGACTGAGCTAGCTGGACGGTTTTTGCTTGATTGTTTAGTTTCAGATAGAGAACGTCGTAAATTCATATTGAAGCAAAACTACCTTCGCGCTGTCTCGCATATTTCTTTTCGTTTTCGAAAAAAATTCGAAGAGAAAACGCGTCTTTTACATTGAAATCTAATTAAAATATAATCGGCAAACGTGGGCCCCGGAACCCGCGATTAAGAGTCTC